CCCCTTGTGAATCTGGAGAATCATTCCAATGGCTAGTTCACAATATGTTCAACTCTAGCCTTTGGCAACTACTAGCTGTTTTTCTTTACTAGCAGATCATGTATACATGGATAAAATAAGAGAAATCTATTTACCCGTTTTACAGATTAATTTAATTGTTTATATAATCATACTTGGAATTCGGATGAATATCTTTATCTTCACACTGTATACTGTAACAGCAACTTTTTCTCATTAATTTACAGTAACTTTCTAAATTCAGATATTCTCAAATGGGACAAATACTTTAGTATCGTTGTATTGTTTACGAATTAAAATATTAAATTGATTTCATAAACTTCAAGAATTCCTTGGGAATTCTTAAGGAATTCCTTTAAAATTCCGTGATAATACATGTGATTGTCTATAGTAAGGAAATATTAAAGGAATTTCAGAGGACATTTTAGAATTTAGATAGTTGCAATCATGGGTGAGCACATATTTTGTGAAACTGTTTCAAAATAAAATTGCATTTTAATTAATAAAGAAATGCAAGAATGTGAAAGAAACCAAATTATATACAGTGAAACTTTAAAGTGGGAAAGAAATAGGGTGGTGAAATACGGTTAGTGTGCTAAAATATTGAAGCATATGGTTAATATATGTTTATGGGACTAGCATTGCACTATCTCGTGAAAAGGGAATATAGCGTTGAATACAAACTATAAAAACCCATTCATGAAATAAGGGGCAAGGGATATTGGTAAACAAGTATTACCAATCAATCCTATTCCCTTTTAATTATAATGTCCACTGTGGTCAAAGCACCCTATAATAATTATTATTTACTCTCTAACAGCAGATGATCTTACTCATCAAGGGCAATTTTGTACCTTGATGAGTAATACGCATACAAAATACTAAACTGTTTCATTACATATTTTATGTCTGAACCTTTGACATTGCAACAAAATAGGTTTGGGTGGGGTAAAAAAATTTTCTGGCATTGCACCGGTGGGGTAGCTAGAAATTTTGTTTCGAAAAAGGTGGGGTAATGATTTTTTCTGGCTTCATTATACTTACTCTTCGGCCCCCACCCCTGCCATAAATAATGACCGGTCCCTTATTCCCGTCTTGACTTATATCTTGAGTTTCAATATGGTATTAATCTTTGGATTGTGTTTTGTTTTATACTTTATGATATATTATATACCTCTTGATTGTCTCCGTCTTTGAGTTGTGTTGTTCTCACAGTTTCATCTTCAGCCAACACTCTCATTTTATTCGCTTCAGTTGAGATTGCTCTTGGCTCTTCAAAGAAAACTTGAGTAGTTTCCTCTTGTTCAGTGACAAAATTCTCGTCCGCTTCAATAATGTTTGGAGTTGCTATTAAAATTGTAAACATCTGTGAGATGTGCATGCCCTTTGTCAATGCATGTTAGAGCCAGCCCGGTTAGGTGAGATCTCACCTCAGCCCGGTTAGGTGAGATCTCACCCCAGCCCGATTAGGTGGGATCTCATGCTGGGGGAATTTCCGTACGGAGACTTTATTCCACCTGACAGGTTGAGTCCTCGCTTCATTTGTAACACAATAGACTTATGCATAATGACGTCACAAGGCTTGATGCCCGCGACGAATGCTGGTCTTAGTAGTCATCGCCCGGGAAAACTAAACAATTCAAAATGGTCAAGGCGATGACTACTAAGACCAGCATTCCTCGCGGGCATCAAGCCTTGTGACGTCATTGTGCATAAGTTCTATTGATACTTAATCCCCAATTTTATTGCCAGACCTGTGGTTCTTATAGGACAACACGGGATAGATACAAACCTGGAACAGATAATCCCCCCACATCACTAGGGGTCCCCTCCTTTGTTTCAGAGTCCACACTCTTTACTGGAGTACTCCTAGCTGTACTTAATGTTCCCTCTGAATCCTGTCGAGATCCCTTACGGCCACTCTTTGTCTCCTCTGAGCTTGTTCTTGGTGTTGTCGGGATGGATTCAATTTTCACTCCTTCCAACGGCAGCTCTCCGACAACCTACATGTTGAAAGAATTTGCAACCGGCTTAATTTCACGCCAAGTAACTTCTATACAATTTTACGCGTCCTTCTCTGCAATGATGTATTTATAAGATTAACGCCTGTATCTCAAAAGCACACTCACACACAAAGAGTGGAGGTTCAATCTGAGCTTCTCTTGAGTGTCAGTGCTGTTTTTGAATAGCTGGAGGGTGAGTAGTCTATAGCGTAAGAATTCTATAGCGCACATTTACACGTGGATATGATACGCTTTACATCACGTGTTACGCGTACCTAATTACATACTTAGCCTAGACTGTTTTATCTTTACAACAATTGTGACATTACTTTCTTAACTGTGTTTATCCTAACCCACCCTGTCAACTTTCCCTGTGGGAGGAAACCAGAGTACCCGGAGAAAACCCACGACTTTGGGCATAGCATTGACTCTTTTCTGTTTCGCTGGTAAGGGCTATTGTCTTACCTGTTTGACAAGTAAGTCAGAAGTCCTTATCCATCCCTCGCATTCCTTCTCTATCCTCTTAAGATCATTATATTCCACCTCAGCGTCATCTTCATAACGATCTTTCTTTTCCATCATGCTTTCCATGACGATACTGCCACAACACTCCTTGATAACCTTTGAACAAAAATGTATTTAAACTGGTGGTAAGGGTACCATACTTTGGTTTTCTAGATTTTCTTAGAAAATTTCCACGCTTTTTCTGGAAAATTTTCGTCAACTTTCTTTAGGCAATTTCTATAAAATTTCAACAGTATGGAAGTGTTCCAGTGTACATGCACATTTTCTAGTGTGCCAATAAGCTAACCATCATCACTCAGCCTCGTACTCAGGCGCTATGTGTTGTTCTATGGCTTGCGTGGGCTGCGTGGATTAATTTTATCGATTACAAAGCGCCTGAGTACGAGGCTAATCATCACTATCATCATCACCATCATCATCATAATTATCATCACCATCATCATCATAATTATCATCACCATCATCATCATAATTATCATCACCATCATCATCATAATTATCATCACCATCATCATCATAATTATCATCACCATCATCACCATAATTATCATCACCATCATCATCATAATTATCATCACCATCATCATCATAATTATCATCACCATCATCATCATAATTATCATCACCATCATCATCATAATTATCATCACCATCATCATCATAATTATCATCACCATCATCATCATAATTATCATCACCATCATCATCATAATTATCATCACCATCATCATCATAATTATCATCACCATCATCATAATTATCATCACCATCATCATCATAATATCATCACCATCACCATCATAATTATCATCACCATCATCATCATAATTATCATCACCATCATAATTATCATCACCATCATCATCATAATTATCATCACCATCACCATCATAATTATCATCACCATCATCATCATAATTATCATCACCATCATCATCATAATTATCATCACCATCACCATCATAATTATCATCACCATCATCATCATAATTATCATCACAGGCATCATCATAATTATCATCATCATCATCATCATAATTATCATCACCATCATCATCATAATTATCATCACCATCATCATCATAATTATCATCACCATCATCACCATAATTATCATCATCATCATAATTATCAGCACCATCATCATCATAATTATCATCACCATCATCATCATAATTATCATCACCAGCATCATCATAATTATCATCACCATCATCACCACCATCACCATAACAATAATCACCTTGGAATACGTTCTCAAGTCCTCGGCTAAACGACCCGCCCGGGTTTTGATCTCCTGCGAGGTTGATTCCATGAGGATCTCTCCTCCACCCAGAGCCCCCTTAAGATCATCCTCAGTACCAATCTCCTCCAGATCGCGGTCTTCAACATCCGGGGCAAGACGGAGTAGGACGGTGATCATCCATCTTAACATCGTCGAGTGAAGATCGCTCACCTAATTAAGAAATTAATTGGAACTAATTAGGATAATAACTGAACCAATAAAACAAATATAAAACATTTTTTTCGCATTGATATACAGTTTTATAATATAGTATTTGTAAATTCTGAGCGCTGATTGGCTAAGAGCCGTGTTGATATAACTCCATGTCAACACGGGAAATTTTCCGCCGCTTGTAAACACGGAAATTTTTCTTATTCTTCGGGCTTTTGACATTGCTATATTATAAAAAAAATATAAAACATTTTTCCGTATTGATATATAGTTATATCAACACTCGTGGAAGTTGGGAAAACTCGAAATTGTGTGAAAACACTCCGCCCTTCGGGCGTCGTGTTTCCACACAATTTCTCGTTTTCCCAATTTCCACTCGTGTTGATATCAATACGGAAAAATGTTTAAATTTGTTAAATAATATAGAAGCTTTCTAGAACATACGATCAGCATGAATTTCCCATCTTCATTCTCGACAGAGTTCGTCATGTTAGTCAACCACAGTTTGCCGGCCTTGCATAACTGGTCAAAATCCACTGTATTCCTTTTCAGTTCCTCGTCCTGACGCTCGCCATCCTTGAGCGAAGAGCCAATCAGAATTGCAATTTCTTTCATGTTCTCTAGCCATTCGTTGCCAACTTGATCAGCCAGTCGGATCCATTCTGGATCTAACAACTCCTCGTTTCCATTCACTACCGAGTGCAGTTTGTTACACCTAGGTATATTTAGGATAGTTAGATACATGTGAATACATTAGGGAAAAGCTAAGTACCAAAACGTAGTGGTCCAATGTTGATATTATTCTACCATAAGCTGTCGTGGTTTGTGTCTGAACTACCTGAAAAAGATATCTTAAATGTGGTGGTCCAGTGTAGGTAGTATTCTACAATAAGCTGTCGTGGTTTGTGTGTGAACTACCTGAAAAAGATATCTTAAATGTGGTGGTCCAGTGTAGGTAGTATTCTACAATAAGCTGTCGTGGTTTGTGTGTGAACTACCTGAAAAAGATATCTTAAATGTAGTGGTCCAGTGTAGGTATAGCCTGCGAACAGGCTCACTGGGAGAAAGGTGAGCCTGCACGGAACCATGCGTTTTATTCAATCATCCCCTTTTCGCATCTGCTAAACGCGAGCCAATCAGCGTCGACTGCGATAAATAAACTGTCAACTGTCAAATTGACGCAAGGCGTGTACATTGTGCAACGAAGAAATACTGAATATTAAAATGTATACATAATGTATATATGAACAATAATACAAAGCATTAGCGGGCCGCACAAAATATTACTCGGAAAAATATAGAATTCTTCAAATTTTAAATAGATATCAATACACATACAAATATAAAGCCGAATAAAATACTACCATTGGCAGATTGGCTTTGAATGTACAGTAATACTTGTACTATGTGCGACTGAAAGAACAATGTTCTGAATATTTGAAGCTATTACTAAAATGCGGTCAGATAGATTTGGAATACCGAATACGTCTAAAATTTTACTAACTGTGGTCTAAATAAATGATAAATGAGCATGTATTTATTAATTTCTTCGAAATCACGAGTGTGCCAATAGTGGAAGCCGTATCGACGACGAAATTGTCACCAGTTTATACAGTAAATAGTACAACGTTTAATGTACGATATATATTTATCTAAATGACATGCCAGCGAGGATCAACAATATAATTATTCGTACATATTTGGGTATCTTTTGTATGCCTTCGCTTGCTGACTTGCTCACTAATGAGAATAATCCGTGAAGCCACGACGACCTCAAAATGTACTATACTATAGTCTGATGTCAATCCGAAGACGAAGTTCAGAATACTGTTATAGTTTCGTATATTGGATTTAAGCGATAGATTCAAGTCATTTATGATAGACTTTTTTGCTGTGATGCTTTGCTATTGCTTTTGGTTTCCATTTCTAGTTTTATTTCAACAAATAATTTGTTCGATAGCCTTATAATATATAATATTAAAATGAATAAAGTTCAAATTCTTCAAAATACTGTTGTTGACATTAGCTATTTTTAGTAATTTTGTCAACGAGTGTAAGCCAATCAGAAGCCTGCGTTTCTATACGAACGCCACTACCAAGAAAACCTATAGTTCCGTGCAGGCCCTCTATTCTTCGCGCCGCCCGTAACCCAGGGCCTGTTCGCAGGCTAGTGTCGGTAGTATTCTACAATAAGCTGTCGTGGTTTGTGTCTGAACTACCTGAAAAATAGATCTCAAACCAGTTTATTCGACAATAATGGACAACAGCCGGCTGTATTAGACAACGTCACACACAACCTCACACCCAGGTATTTCATCTAACGCTCGTCGGAGAAAAGGGCCTGGCTAAGAGGCTGGGTTGCACATGCTAAAACTAACCATGATTCAATGGGGTTGCTCATATCAATCAATCCTTTAGCCACGCCATTTTCGCCACTGGCACGAACTTGGAACTGCTGATGTAGTTTTTCAACGTTCTGATTGACGGTGGACATTTCTTCATTGTACCTGACGTTCTGTCCATCTTGTTGATGACGTCGAAATACCTGACAAAGAAAACAATAAAATCTCAATAATATACCCTTCCGGAAAGTACTGCTATTGAGCCTCGTTTTCGTCCTTCAGATATTGGGTTTAACCACATGCGCAGAACGGATGAAACGGATAAAGGGATCTAGGACGGCTGATGTCTCGATCAGGAAAACGAATATTTATTGACACGTAAATGGAATTTGAGCTGGAATTGTAATTTGAGCTAGAAATCGATCTTGAAATCAAACTGCATCCAATGGTATCCAAAGGCACCTAAGTGTGTCCAAGTGTACCCAAAGGTGTCTGAGTGTACCCAACTGTACCCAAAGGTACCTAGGTGTACCCAACCGTACCTTGTGTGCGTCATCGGTCCAAGCTTCGACCCTCTTGTACAAATGATAAAGCTGATCTTGACAAGATAATAAACTCCCTCCAACAAATTTCTCTGCTTCTTTATTACACATATCTTCCCAAGCTTTCATATCGCTGAGTAGTTCTTCAATAAGCTCTCTTCCGGGTGCCTGGACTCTGCCTTGATCTGGACTAGAAGGGAAAATATATATTGATCATTATTTCCTAGCCGTGTTTCCCAAAGGTGGACAAACCAGGAAACATTGTTTCCTAACCGTGTTTCCCAAAGGTGGAAAAAACCAGCAAACATTGTTTTCAAAGGAGAACAGTTACAGAACTGATAAAGCTGTCCACAATAAATAAAGTTTCGACTTCCTTCTGTATTAAGACTTGAGCAACAAGGACCTTACTGGACAGCTAAGGACATAGAGCTATCCAATGGACTGAAAGACTGCGGATATTTCTTTCATACCTTACAACTCGTTCGAACTCACTCCTCCAACGCTGTAGCTGTTGTACAGCGACTTCGAGGTTTGTTTTCAAATTTGCTTCATTCTTCATCAACTGATTGTTGAATTTCTCAGCTAGATCTTTCCAAGATTGAAAGTTTGTCACGACATCTTGAAGCTACAGAGCAAGCATACCTCAACGTTACTTTAACTGAGAATTCTATTTTAGAACCATCCTCAGAGATATAAAAAACTGCTTTCATATTATTCTGTTCCGCTCGAGACAAATATTTTTCGTTGAACTCTGCAGTATCAGAATAATATGAAACTATTTTTTTTTATAAATGATAAGTTTACCGCAAAGTAAACACTTTTCCAACTTTTTTTCTGTCAATAACGTGTGGCGAAGATCAGTATGATCTAAGTGCTGAATTGAGAAAGACGCAGCTCAAACATGACCGAGTTCAAAGCTTATACTAGCACTTTCATTGAGGACAAATTGCTAAAAAAATGAAGCTACACCCGATTCTAACCTGCTCGCTATCCTTTTGACTGAGGCTAAGACTAAAATGTCTTGCTAATTTGGACCAAGCTCTCTCATGCAAATGCAATCGTTTGGCAACATTCAATTTATGATGATCAGTGACTTTCAAAGCCAGTATATACGATGCACTGCCCCACAGATCTCGTTCTTCCGTCAACGTGCGAACGAATATCTCCAAGCGTTTTCTCTGGAGTTCATACAATTCGTGGTACTCCTCCAGCAAGTTTGCATTCTTCTCCGATTCAATTAGAGCTTCGTTGAGCTCTTGTTGTACCTAGAGAGAGGCAAAGGTTTCGCTGTAACATCAGTCGCATGGGAGAAAAGTGATTCACTTTGACCAACTAAGCATCATAGGTTATTTCATTGAGCACTGCCTTCCCTCCCTCCCTCCCTGGGCCAATAAAAGATTGTCCGTACTGCAGCTCCAAGGAGAAGAGTTTAGAACTGATAGAGTTATTCAGTGTAAATAAAGTTAGTTTAGTTTAGGTTTCATCCTGTAAGTAACACTGGATCAATAAGGGCTGATATTTACTGGACCTCTAGGAAGAACAGTTTAGAACTGATAGAGCTATCCAGTATAAGTAAAGTTAGTTTAGTTTAGGTTTCCTCCTGTAGTAACACTGCATCAATAAGAGATGACCCTTACTGGACCTCTAGGAAGAACAGTTTAGAACTGATAGAGCTATCCAGTATAAGTAAAGTTAGTTTAGTTTAGGTTTCCTCCTGTAGTAACACTGCATCAATAAGAGATGACCCTTACTGGACCTCTAGGAAGAACAGTTTAGAACTGATAGAGCTATCCAGTATAAGTAAAGTTAGTTTAGTTTAGGTTTCCTCCTGTAGTAACACTGCATCAATAAGAGATGACCCTTACTGGACCTCTAGGAAGAACAGTTTAGAACTGATAGAGCTATCCAGTATAAGTAAAGTTAGTTTAGTTTAGGTTTCCTCCTGTAGTAACACTGCATCAATAAGAGATGACCCTTACTGGACCTCTAGGAAGAACAGTTTAGAACTGATAGAGCTATCCAGTATAAGTAAAGTTAGTTTAGTTTAGGTTTCCTCCTGTAGTAACACTGCATCAATAAGAGATGACCCTTACTGGACCTCTAGGAAGAACAGTTTAGAACTGATAGAGCTATCCAGTATAAGTAAAGTTAGTTTAGTTTAGGTTTCCTCCTGTAGTAACACTGCATCAATAAGAGATGACCCTTACTG